GTGCAAAGTTCTATGTCGAAAACAGACAGACAGACAACAATTAGTTTAAGACACGTAGGAAGGTTTAGACTCCTGGCTGATTGGGGTCCTCGGGCTAGTGAAAGACAGTGGCTGAAAACAATTGGTGATATGACCTAAAATCGTTCTCATTGGCGCATGTGCATCCACTCCTTGTGACTTTTAATGCACAACAAAACTACATTGTTCTTCGATATTTTCTACGATATCTCTGTTTAATATCACCATTTTGCGTTTCTTTTTACTTTCTTCCCTTCCCAGTGTACTACATGGAGTGTGGTGACTCAAGCTGCTGCACATCATTGCAAAGTTAAATGTTGAAACCAGTCAGTCAGTCAGTTACGTTGTAAAACTATCGATGCTAGTGAAACTTCAGAGCCCAAGCTTGAAGCCTCTTGTTTCTCTCAGAACGCAAAGGAATAGAAAAACGTATGACTGTTCACCTGACTTTTAAGAGGGAAGCATCTAGATTGACATCAAGAGCTTTACATATGGGAACTTAAGCTCGGAGAGTGATGAAACAATCACAACATTCATAGGTTGAACTAAATATATTTACCTCTACATTACTTTCTCAAGTATTTTTGTTCTACCGTCAGCTACAATACTTGTTTAACTTCGTGAGGGCACATACACATATAATGAGCTGAACTTTGGTGTGAGGTCTGATAATATATACTGGTTGTCTGATCTATGACAGATGATTTAGCATAGACTCCGTCTGTCCTGAAGTCTGGTTCCTTTGATTGATGACTAATTCATTTTTTGCATCAGATTCACAATATGTGAATTAATTCGTGATTTGCAATTCACACAATTCGAGGTAAGATTTCAGAACGCTTTTCTTGTGAAAACGAAATTAGTTAGATCACATTATTTTATGTTTTTTGATAACATAAATAGCAGACAAGAAAGCGATCATAATTGCATAAAACTATATACTTGTAACGGAGCAATTGTTTGGAAAGTCTATCCTGGAGTATCTGCTTACAATATTTGTGGATGTTCCAGCTAACTTTCGAATCGTTATCTGTTTTTCTCCTAGACTGTACATCATCGTTCTGATGTTTGAATATCACACGTTGAACTGATCCTTATTATTTATATTCGTTCCTGTTCAAACTCTAATTTTGATTCTTCTCATTGTGTTTGTGACCAATCAATCAAATCGCTACAAACCAATACTTCACTACTACTTATTATTTTGAGGATGAGTAGTTGGATAGCACTTACACTGACCAGTAGCACTTGCTGACCGTATTGAAGCGAATTAACGCCAGCCTAACGTTTCATTCGTGTTGGGACTAAGTGTAACTGTGAGATGGAATATCTAATATGTTTGTTTTCTTTATTACAATTGATGCTATCAAGCAGATCACATGTAATCCGAATGTTTCGGTTTTCCCAATGGTAATCTGTAATGGATTTCCACTTCGAGCTGTGTAATTTTCTTTTTGATTACAGCATGACTCCACACTGTACTTTTGGTACAAGTATGGAATTTTCAGCATGGATATCGGTAGCCCAAACTTTGCAGGCCGACCATAGATATCAGCTGTTCGTCGGCAGGGGATCGAACCTCCGACCATGTTCATGGTCGGCAAGAGTCCTAACCACTGTGCAAATAAAACATCTAATTTTATGTTACTAGTCCACTGAAATAGTGAACTGTGATACAAGTGGTTTGAACCGATTCACTTTCTCTGTTCTGAGAGATAGAGAGCCGAATCCGTTTTCTGGCTAGGAAGCACTACTATTTGATGTGAATGAAATCCAACTACTTATATGAGTTAATCAGTAGTATACAGTATATAACTTAATATTTAATATTTACCACAGAACTTCGAGTAAACATAATCAGAATTTAGTTTACACCCCATTAAGGCATATCTTTTACATAATTATCACTATGGCATTGACAGGCCACAGTACAATTTATTCCTGAAATTTACTATAAACAAAACATTTTTGTTTTAATCCGCTTGTGTAGTCAAACGCAAGGTTCAAATGGTCAGTATATCGAAAAATATTTTTTTTGGTTTTAATAATACAAGTAATTTTCATGTTGATTATACTGTCATAATTTCAAGTTGGTTAAAGTTTCAGGACAAGCCTAGTTCTGGAAGTTTTCAGACATGTTAAATGAAATTTCTAAACCTTTATAATGACACACATAATATGTTTATGCTAAACAAGGTATACCAGTAAACATTATCGTTTTTAAATAGATCTCATCAGGTTTAGCTCAAATATGCATAGATTTACGAATAAATATGAAGAATAAGCCATTCAGGGTGAATTTTCATTAGGATGGTCTTTAAAATTGTACGTATAGGCGTTTTCAGTGTTGGGGAATATTGAAGGAGCAACATATGTATTGTTTTATTCGATCTGACTTTCATTTGGCGGGGAGAAACAATGGCAGCCGTTATCTGATTGTACGCTAGTTGGCAGAAGACTGGAGAAAAACAGTCAGAAGTATTATTGTACTTTATAGTGTCGTGTATTTGTAGACTTTGTGCTTTTTAACCCTGATGTTCTGGTTAGTCGTCGGTGAAGAAAAATGACGTCACATCCCACTGTATTTATCAGTTTGAATGTACGTGTGGACACATATACATAGGAAGGACTCATCGATCTCTGCAAGTAAAGGCTTCAGAGCATATTCCTAAATGGCTCCAGAAACAAATGGAATCTTCAGAACCTATTAACGGTGAGGACAGGAGATCTAGCTCTTCTATTGTGAAACATATTGTAGAGACAGGACATAAAATTGATGTTAACAGATCTTTTAAACCTATCTATAACACGTATTTGGGGCATATCCTAAAGTTTGTGGAAGCCCTAGCTGGCAATTAGGAAGTTTAAACCACCTTTATGCGTTCATCAAAAAACAATTCGTCATCACGCTGAACCTTCCTTGGTAAACTGTTTTGATATCATAGTAGATGTACTATTACCTTTGTTATTTGGTTTAGTGATCTTCATTGTAATTTTGACCTTCAATATATCCTTTCAACTTGACCTAAGTGGTCTATTTTCTCACCTCTTAACTCTTTAATTATTTCATATATAGTCCTATGACAAGTCCGTGTGTGATCAGATTGTTCGAAATGTGTTGAGCAAATACACATTACACGATTCAGACAAATTACGTCTTCTTATTGCTTTATCTAAATTCAAAAAGGGAACTAGTTGTTTTAGAGTAGATATTGCCTATCCGTTTTCTGATATTCTCTCATCGCTTACCTTACATAGTATTCTGAGGCAGTGAATAGTCTTCTGGAATAAGCGATAAGTTCAGTATCTTTAGCGATCTGAACATTTGACAGGCGTAAACCCCTAAGAGGTCTAATTGAAACCAACATTTTCAAGTGTTGGTTTGCAGGGACTTGATTGATTTCAACTTCAATCACAGATTGACTTCAGTTTGAGAATCACTGAAATCCATGGAGTAGTGGACAGCTGAATTCAATTTATCTAGTGTTCATTATTGACTCTGTTACATTTCGGAGGGTACTAAAATCTGTCGGCTTAGTGAGTACAGTATCACTAAACCAACTCTTTAAAACTGTTAAGGACGTACCTTTGAATTTATGCAAGAAATTGGTGAATATCATGTTGTCCAGCTTTCTCTTCCCCCCCACACACACACCACTCCTCTTGCATCCCGTCAGGTAGGACTACAAACAGTTATAAAAGGCCTTATCCTCGGACGACTAAGTATAACAAATTTACAATACCTTATTTGTCATATATTTTATGTGATTATGCGAAACCAATAAATTAATGCCCGACCGATAGCTGTCTTGACGTGGTGGTCGGGCTTGCACATCACGATGACCCAGAAAACTGCACTGGCTGGAACCAATGTTCCTGCAGGTTCTACCATACCAGGAAGGTTGTTAGGATAGTGATTAGACTAAAAGCAGTTACCAGCATCGTGTAAGAATCTTTCTTACACTATGCTGGGGGGTCTGAGGGCGAAGTCGTACTGCTGGGGAACAGGGGTGTAACAGCAGTGAGGTGTTTCCCTCAGATAACCAGCATGCCAGCCAGCCAGCTATGCTGTCTCTCCTCTCCGGAGAGAGGGGGTTAGAAAAGGTCAACCCAAAAAATTGTATATCCCGAATTACCCTACGGTGGTCGGTAACTGGCGGTAAGCCTCATAATACGGTGCAAACTAAGAAACCAGTTCATACAGGTCTTGTGTGACCGGCCTCAAACAGTTGTCCCCTAGGCTCTGTAGTCACGCAACACTAACCCTCTTTCTGTTTCAGGTACCCGAAGAATCAATCAACTTCCAAGGTATGGGCAGCCGGGAAGTAACAATCGCCCATACACTTCCAAAAGCCGACGAAGCCATTCTGTTGATCATCCTCCTTTGTCTCTGTCCCCTACTACAGTTGGTACTATTCTTCAAACTAGTGAGTCATCTTCACTTCACTCTGTGACCACAAACAACGAGGAGAGCTATAGAAACACCCCAGATAACCTCTTAAAGCTACGTCGCCAACTTCATTTAGGAGCATTCAACGTCAGAACCCTCTGCCAAATCGGACAACAAGCATCACTAGCAAGAACTCTCGAGCCATGGATGTATGTTGTGTTTTGCAGACACGCGTCCAAGTATTCATACATTTAGTTACAGGATTTCATCATGAGCTGATATTAGTTAGAGAACCATTGGAAAACCTGGGAGTACTGGGCAGCTGTTTCGATCTAGTTTGGGACTCTTCAGCAATACGCTCCCACCGGGGTTCGAACCCAGAATCTTCTCCTTACAAGGCGAGCTCGTATACCATTAAGCCACTGGGACCCGATTCAATGGCCCATGAATTCTAACTTCTGCCAATTCACGACATAGCGCAACCACTAGCCAATGTCTTTGGCGAGTATTTGTCCTCACGCCCTACTAGTCTCAACTTCTCATACATTTATTTTAATTTAACATGATTATCATATTAATTTCAGAAACTTACATTCATCAACCTTGGTATATTAGACAATTGTCCTGAATAGCTCATATTAGTAGTGTTGACACTGTCATTCATATTATTATTATTATTATTATTATTATTACATAACACGGTATTACTCCAGTTACCAGAACTGTTAGTATTCATCTCTTGATATTTTGTTATTCCATGTAAATTTAGTTTCTCCATTTCATGTTCAACTATATCTGATATGTTATTCACATTGGCTTCATGTTCTGTACTAGTAACATCTTGATTACATATGATAGGAATACTTTGTAGTTGATTAGTTAACTGTACACTGGGGAGTGGCACTGGCTGACATGTTTCTGTAATATTGTGCTGTATATTAGATCCATCCACCCATACAGATTGTGATTTTGGTTCTGATAGAGATTGTTGTTGTAGGCAGTTATTGTTATTATTATTGTCACTGCTACAACTACTATTATTGTTGTTGTTAGTAGTATCAGTTGTATTTTCATTGTGAGCATTCATTTGTTGCTGATATTGTTGAATTAATTGTTTCGTCAATGGTTGAATAATTGAACTCCAAACATTGCCTGATTCATTTGATATAGCTGGAGATTGAAGAAGTTGACTTAATATGCTTAAATTGGGATTTTGAGAAAGATTATTTTGTATAATGTACTGTAGTAATTGATTAGTTTCTTGACTGTTTTGAATTTGTTCATTTATTGACTGCAGCTGATGTGGGATAAGTAGAGAAGAATCTGAGTACTTTTGACTAGGTATATTGGGTATGCATAGAGTCTGTTAGGGAAAAAAAAATAAAAACAAAAGAAGAATGGGCAAAGAATGATTTATGTGAAGTGATCGTGATGGCATTTTTTCATGGAATTGTTAATAAGCGCATAGTAGCGTCGGTTGTTCGGTAATAGAATCCGTGCCAACTATTTATGTGCTCCAAGGTAGAATTCCTGGTCGAAGCAGCCATGCAGCACACTAAGCCGTTATTAAGCCTGGTTGAGAGTAGAGGTTTGGCGTGAGGATAGCCACCCCACTCCGTAAAAATTAACCCATTGCTACTTAATCTTCAAAGTTCAAGCCTAAAGCCCTTTGTTCCAATAGGAATAAAATGATAAAAATAGTACTTGTCAAGTATCCTTCAAGAAATCTATTCTAATTTAACTGACTGAGCTTCAACGCAGTGAAGTGAAGCAGTTCAAGTTGACACACTATATGTTTCACACAAAGGTACAGAAGAAAATAGATCAGAAAGAACTTTAATGAAAAGACATGTGTAGACGAAAGAAAGAATTATAACATGAAGATATAAAGAGTATAGACTGACCAACTAACTGGTTTAACACAGAACTTTGCACAGATGTCCAGGGGTTCGAGTTGCTACTCTCCACCTACGTAGGACACAAAGCAACACTAGAGAGTAAAGAGATAATAAACAGAAGTGTAAGGTAACAAGAATAGTAATATGAAAGAACATTAAAATTTTATTGGATATAATCAATCATAAGGAGTGGATGCATCTGCGCCAGCCACTGAGAACGACTTTGAGCCATATCGAAAATTGTGTCCAGTAGTCACCATTGGTTCTAACCATCCCGAAGACCCCAACCAGGAAGTTTACATCTCCAGACATGACTGGGTGGTTTAAACTGACTGTTGTGGATTTCGTTGACTGATGAATCGATGTTTTGGTTTGACCAACACTGGCTGTTTTACAATCTGATCCATCCTATGTCAGTCAGCTAACATTGCCTTGTTGCGTTATTGAGGAAGGCGATGGCAAAGCGTGCATGCGTAACACAAGGTCTAACCATCTCAATTGATGCAGCTGCCACACAACCTCGTCTACTGATTTTCCATCTTTACCTAGCACACGACTTAAACCTAACTTCGAAATCGCTCACACTATTATACGACCACCCAACATGGGAGATAGAATGCAGGCACCAATGATCAGAGACAGCTAGCCTGACTTTTCATGTCTTCCACTCTAAATGGCCATATCTCACTGACAGCCATAAAAGAGGACGCGGCGAACTGCTGAGAAGGACACACACCCTTTGGTCGGCAGCCAACCAAATATCAAGTCTATTAAGCCAGAGATGGCGTAAGCTGGCAGGCATATCCTAGACGAGCCTTCTGTATTCGTATTGAGATTTCGTCAGCGATCAACCCTCTGGCGTTTGTTGATGCTACTCCCTAAATAAGTGAAGTGGTCAACAGGCTCCACATACCGGCCACTTCACTCCCTATCGTCTTTAAGCTAGGAGTGAATCAGTGTATATCCAGTGCAGTCCTGCAGTGTCATCTTACATTTGGCAGAGGGAGCAAATCGCATGACAAACATTCGAAGACTGCTACTCCTCAGGGTGTTCAGAAGACTCTGTTCTATTTCGTCAGCGTCTTTACCTAGGAGGCCGGACTATATCGTCTCCATATTCTAAGTCAATGAAGTTATCTGCCGATGGTAACGAGTCAATCTTTGAGTCGTTGAAGTAATGAATGTAGGCGATTAGAAAGACAGAATACACGTTTGCAGTGCTGAGATCAATTTTCAGCCATATCACCTACAGTCTCTATCCATAGCTTCTTAGCATCCCAGGGACCCCAGTCAAGCAGTCCCAGCATTCACCCACGTGACTTCCTCGAACCAACTATCAAAAAGGATTTCATTAAGTGATGTCACGTTTAGGTTTGACCAACCTAAACTCTTTATCAACCCAATACCATCTCAGTCCGTTGAAGAAGGTTTGACAGGCTCATCAAGTGTCCTATCCTTCTCGATCGATATAGCTTCGGTGGCACAGTGGTTAGGACTCTCGCCGACCATGCACATGGTCCGGGGTTCGAGCCCGCACCGACGCACATCTGATATCTATGGTCGGCCTGCAAAATTTGGGCTACCGATATCCATGCTGAAAATTCCATAGTTGTACCGAAAATACAGTGTGGAATCAAGCTGTAAATCAAAAATAAAAAAAAAATAAAAAAAATAAAATAAAAACCTGATCAATTAGCTTATTCTCCTCACTTATCACTCTAAGACTTTGACCGGACAACATCTGATGCTCGATCTTACACAAGCAATCAAAATAGTTATTTGTCATGTACACATGTATTTATATAATGCATCCTTTCATCAGCAGAGGTCAGTCCTGACTTTTCTTTTTAACTTTTTTTTCTCTTGATCTCAGTGCAGTAGAAGGTATGACATAAGTGTCTTCTCATCTTCGGTATTCAGCCTCGACTTGCCTATCTTTCAACATGAATCAAAATGTGACAAAAAATGAGGCTAGATAAATTACTTTTCTCTGTCAGTAATGTTTCAAATTTTTTTTTAAATTTATTGTGAAGTATGTTGATTTTAACGTCATAGATAACTAGAGTGTGACTGAGTAGGGGGAAACAAAAGAATCAATTATGAATATTTGTCTACCGGTACATGTATCATAGAGTTTTAACTAGTGTGAGAGAGGAATTTTATCATGTTGTAAAGCAATGTGTTCACAGTGTGTAACTTCAACAAATTTAATATTACATATTGTCTAGTAGTTCTTTTTCAAGTATATAATAGTTTTGTTTCAATAATCGAGAAACATTTCCTGTCTTGTGCCTTTAACAAATATGTAATTGTTTTGTGCGCTCTTGTGCTCGCGCTTAATGTATGTATGTGCATATATATATATATATATATATATATATATATATATATATATATATATATATATATATATATATATATATATATATATATATGTACATGCATACACCACACTCTAACCAGGTGTTACCCTTAAAGCTGATGTCAATTCTAATGAGCATATCTATTTTATGGAGTTACACCTCGCTATCGGAACAGATGTGTGAACATCATATAGAAATCCGTAGAGAAAGCAAAAAGAAACTAACAGGAAGAAAATAAATGTAACAACAACCATGGAAAAATTAATTCTCCCCTCTTTTTTTCCCACTTTAAGTTGATCCATATGTCTGTTTTTGGGAATTGTATTTAACAAAGAGAATAAAATTAATTTCGTTCAGGAATCATAAAAATCACTAGCATGAAATTAGATTTGTCTGTAATCAAAGTAGGCTAACTTAAATTGTCTCAGTCATATGTTACTTTCTTCTGTTAAATAGGAATTAAAGTCAGTCAGAATACACTACTTTGAGAGGAGCAGTTTAATATAACACAATATGGATGTCAAAAAATCAATTTCAATATGTGGACTTTAGATTATTATTATATTACTATTGTTTCCTTTAATTCCTAGAGGTGCATGAGGCTTCAGCCGCGCGTCTCTATTGCCTTTGGTTCTCGGCTAACGTTTTCACCTGGCTCCAAGTCTGCCCACACGCTTTCACCTCCTCTTCACATGAGCTCCTCCAAGTCACCCTTGGACAACCAACTCGCCGTTCCCCGTTCGGGTTCCACTCGAGCGATGGCTTGTCTAGTGATGTCACTTGATAGTTTCCTTAAGGTCTCTCTGTCTATTTTCGACAGAGAACTTTGCATAAATGTGCGGGTGTTCAAGTCGCCACACTCCCTCCTTGTAGCATACAAAAGCAAGAGAAGAAAGTACAAGAAAAGCAAATAGAGACAGTAAACAGAGGTGTGAGACAAAGGAAGAGTAATAACGAAGAACAAAACAGTTTCATTGGAAATCATAAATCACAAGGAGTGGATGTATCTGGGCTGGCCATTGAGAACGATTTTGAGCCATGTCACCAATTGTTTCCAACCATTGGTTTTTACCGTCCCGAGGACTCTAACCAGTATATCTACACCTTCCTACGTGGCTGAGACTAACTATTGTAGATTGCATTGACTGGTAAAGCCATGTTTGGGTTTGATCATCGCTAGTCCTTTTCCAGCCTGACCCTATTTCGGTTGCCTGTTGTCGAGGAAGGCGATGACTAGGAATACGTAACACATTTCCTAACCATCTCAGTCTATGTAACCTCACAACCTCGTCGATTGATTTCCCCTGTTTACGTAGCACTCGACGCCTAACCTCAATAGTGCTCACCTTATTATACCATGGGAGATAGAACGCAGGCACCTGTGATCAAAGACAGCTAATCTTTTCATGTCTTCCACTCTCAGTGGCCAGCTCTAACTCACTGTCATAAAGGAGAACGGAGCGGAGTGATGAGTAGTAATAAGCTGTTGTTATTATTAAAAAATTAGTACACCCGCCCTTTGGTCGATAGTCGGATATCTCGTCTACGCCAGAGTCGGCGTAAACTAACAAATGCGAAACGAGCCCCTTGTATTCGTGCTGAGATTTCGTCAGAGATCAACCCGTTGACACTGGCTGATGGTACTTCCCAAATAAGTGAAGCGATCAACGTGCTCTACCACTTCACTTCCTATTTCTAATCTAGGAGTCGGTGTAGTCCATTCCTGTAACATCATCTTGCATTTGGCGGGAGCGAATCGCATGCCAAACATTCGTAGATTGCAGCTGAAGGTGTTTAGAAGACTCTGCATTTTTTTCAGCGTCCTAGCCTAGAAGAACTATATCGTCTGTATATTCTAAGTCAACGAGATTATTCCCTGGTAACAAGTCAATCCCTGAGTCGCTGAAGTGAGTTAGGGTTAAGTCCATTAGTACATCTATGATGAAGTTGAATAGAAATGGGGATAATGGGCATCCTTGACGGACACCACTTAGGGTATGGCCAATCCATCTCCATTTCTTCTGCCTGTTTGTTTGACAATCGGGTTCTGGTTGGTTTCCTCCTAGAGACCCCTGTCACTGATCTTTTCTGGCCATCTGATC